AAACTATATTTTCTTATTTTGGTGTCAATGACACGACGTACCGCTTGTTACATTGATCAATTTTGTATAAGTTTTGTATATTGATTATTGTTTTTTGTTCGTTACTCTTTCGAAACGTTATAAACTATTTAAAATTGATGTTACCGTTTAATATTTATTTTGTTTATTACTGTGTATTATTATTTTTGTTATTATGTATTATTATTCTACTGTGTATTTTTTTATAGTTATCCTCCTCTTACAGGTATATTTGTCATTTTCTTATTGTAAAATTCGCACCTTCTAATGTCTGCACTAATTACTTCGCCATCTCAAGATAACCATTTCCACTGATCAACGGCGGTAGTCTTCAGTACGTTGGGAAGCTGCTCTTCCCAACGGGGGGGAGGATGTTTACGCAAGTCGTCGCAAAATCGTGCCGCTATCAGTGTTGGCGACTCTACCTGTAGGCCGCCGACTAATCTTGCGTATTCCCCTTCCCACCCGACGTGGTATCGACCTGGCTGGCTATTTTGCATGTTGTGCCGGCGCGCCGGTGTGTCTACAACCAGTTGCCCCGTCTCTCTTGTCATCGGACGTCGCTGCCTTTGACGTCCGTGGGGACCTTGTGGGTATTGACCGGTGTTCCGACGTCCGACCGTTATATTGTGCTGGTCTACCTTTAAATTACGCGTCGTATTATACTCGTCTCGTGTGTTATAATCGTCAGTCGCCATCAAACGGTGCACATCGAGTACTGTTGTGTCACGTGCGTCGTACGTACGTACTCACATTGTTGTGGCGTACACGTTACATAAGATCGCGAAACTCAGCCGCCGCCGATCTAATTGAGTGCTAGGTGCAGTGCGCTATACAGTGAGCCGTCGCCGCCGCCACCGCACGCCGCCCATCCCATCTTCAATCGAAGGTCGTGGCAACACAGCCGCCGTCGGTCTATCTTTATACCGGTATATGGGTCAACGCCGTCGCCCGTCGTCCACCACCTACTCCGACCATCTCTACCGCTCGACAACACCAGCGCCGCCTCCACCGTAGTATAGATAAGTCATATCATTGTTGTTATATATTATTATATTATTTTACTGTTTGTATTTGGTAGCTGGACTTAGAGACGTCTAGTCAGCTACGTTTGTAATGTCAGCCGTTCTTAGGCCTGTCACATAATATAAACATTACATTTAAATTTGGTGTACCCCTTTATTACGTTGGTATAATAATATCAATTGTCATACGCTACATTAAGAGTCCTGACAATGCGAGTACGTCGTGTCAACTGCGATACGAAAGAACACGACGTGCGTTAACAATCATTGTAACAAAGTTCAATATTGCTCGTTCGAATATTGATTTTTCAGAAAAATGATCTGCTAAATAATTTACGACGGAAAAGGCGGCTTTTTGTTAGAAAAACAGAAGATTTTATATTCACTGGAGATTCCTTATGTAGTGCAAAAAATCTAAATAATTTTAAATGTTGGTCTATAATTTGGTAAATATTTAAGAATATTTCAAAAATCTGATTTCGAATGACTGCGTTATTTTAGAAGGGGGTGAGCATACTAGGTGAATCACCCTGTATATTATGTCGTACGTGGGTACGCGTTCGTTTGCGGTCTCCAAACTTTCCACTAGAGCCGGTGCACTGTCGCGCAAGCTGATAAAATTATGATATTATTATTATGTTGATTTACTTACTTACTGCGTGTTGTGACTTGTGATGTCCGGCGCGCGATTAAAATGACTGAAAATAAAAACCACTGGAGAGACATTTTGCGTTCACCAAACCCGTGAAATTATTATTATAATATATTATCTAATACGCTCACCACCGTATTAATATCGAGCAAAATAAACGGCTGAAACTTAAAAAAAAAACCCAAAAACTCCGTCGCATTTCGACCCGCGTAATTTCGCAATAAATTTCCCGGACAGTGTAAAATCGCACCCCCCCCCTCTCCCCCCGCCAAGTGCGTTATTCGTTAATAACTGGCGAAGGACCGATCGTCTCCTCGGTGGATTATTATCATTTATCTGTAATGAGCTCGCATAAACATTGGACGCAAACCGCGCTGATCGACGGCGGCGGCGGCGTATAATCATATTATTATAATATTGTGCTGCGTACAAAGTGACCGAATATATTATTATATTATTAATTTCCCATAATTATATAGAGATGGTCGGAGGGGTCGGGGGTCGCGAATAAAAGACGCATACAAATAACTTTCACGCATAGGTACGGTATTATAATATTAAAGCTTGAACGAAATGGCTTTGAAGTAAAACGTTTCGATATCTACGCGTATATTATATTATTACACGATTAAGTGGGCCAAATTTGTTATCAACGTTTAGAACAGCTGAGACCTCGACCGGAACTGACAGCGCTGAAATTAATTTTTAATAATCTGGACAGTAAAACAAGCCATACTCAGCAGTCGCGTATTTGTATGAGTATTATAATCTTTAATTGAAAAAAAAAAAACAAATAAAATACAATGTATTACATGTTAAAACTATTAGTAATATATTATTATAATGTATTTTAAAACGAATTAAATGCTAAACGATTGTTAAAATCTATATAGGTGTAATTAATTCAACAACACTGAGAGGAATTTTGGCACATTAATAAAATGTATTAAAGAAGAAGATAAAATATTGTGACAGAAATTACTAAGTGATATTTGATTGTCAGTATTGTAAACAATTAATATAATATATTTTATTATTTTCTTTCGAATGGTGTATTAATTTAATTTAATGGTGTGTTCAACACGATTTTAGCCTATCGACTAACTTGTGTCTAAAATTATTTGAAATATGAAAAAGTGTAATAATAAGAAATAAAAATGAAATAAAATAAAAAAATAAAAAATAATTATGGATCGGTGAAATCAAACGTAAAATTTATAGTTGGATGTTTCAGGAGTAAACAAAAATACTTAGTAATTTTTTATCAAACTATCTAATAATGGTAGAAGTTTGTAAAATAGCAACAAATTATTTATACGTAAATTGACTACAATAACGATTGAACGGCGTACTATTTTTAATGTTGTTTATGGGTAAAGGGAAATAATACGACGGAAAATAATGAAATAATAAAGTGAAAAAGTGCACAAATTGTAAGTTACAATAATATAACATTAAAAAATTATCAACAATAAATACGAATAAAATTCCCCCAAACCCGTATTATTAGATACATAATTAATTATTTTTTAACAAAATTGTTGTACATTAAAAGACTTTTTTAACAATAAAATGTGATTACATAAATATAATGATAAAAGAATAATTATTAGGCGTACAAGGTACAACACTTATGTACAAACTAGACAACACAAAATATACTAAACATTTATAGTAAATACAATTTTGATCGTTGAATATTTTCTTTTACAAGCTTAACCAGATCCTACTTTAAACTTAAGTTATACAAATAGACTTAAGTTGTGAGCAAGTTAAAGATTAGCTAGAAGTAAATAATACATAGTTACTACCAATTTGATTTACTATATAGTACAGTTTAGTAAAAATATCACTTAAAATGTTGTTAATCCCAAATTCACCTAAATATTATATCATATTACTCGTATTTAAAATATGCAAACACATATAAATAAACGTGAAATACGGATCGTTTGATGTAAAAGTACATTGGATTTTCTAAAAAAAGAAAAAAATGTTTAAGTACCTTACTTACTGTTACCACGGTGTTTGTGAATTATCATCCATTAATCTTAAACACTACGAAAATATCCATTTAATATACTTTTATTTCAAACGACCGATATAAATTAATGTCTTTTTTTTACGAACAATAAACGTTATAACGTTTTAAAATTATATTCCCGAATGTTCAAGCCGAGAGTGACTAATAATATATTAATAATATACGTACGTAATTTAATAATAATAATTTAAATAATAACGTAAACATTTAAGCAATAATAATAATAATAATTATATATAGGTACGAATAAAAGTTTTCACTAAAATTATTTTTAAACGAGAAAAAAATATTTAGACACAACCTATCGTTTCTACACAAAAACACGTTTGTTCGTATTTATCATAAAGGGAATAAACGGAAACGAGGTAACTATGTTTGTTTAGGATATTCAAACGTTGAATATTATTATTTAATATAAAACGAAAGAAATAATATTATTTAAATTTAATGACATCTTGTGTCTATTGCACTTGTTTAGATCACAGATAGAACTTATATATTCATTTTTTTTTTTTTTTTTAATTTTCTATTCGGGACATCGAATGTATATTAACTACTTCACTTTGGTTTAAAACTACGTAAAACAATTAAAGCCACACATCATATCAATAGGCGTAATGGTCCCAATTTTATCCTATTTCATGGAACGATGTTCTATGGTGGACGTCCATGCGCCGCCCTCGAGGGGCCACGTCAAATTAAAACAGCACTCGAGTGCTCTGAAATACGGACGTTTGCCGACTCATTGTTCCTCATCACTACTACGAAATATAATAATATGACATAAGCTTACGTTAGAAAATACTGTGTATGGTATGACGACAAGGGTTAGGACATCCGGAGAACGTTCCGCAGAAATGTCGTGTACTACAACTTATGTAAATTAGTTTATTCATGATAATAAGGGTCGGCCGAAACGGTAATAAAAATAGTATTATTATTATTATTATTATTAGTAGTAGTAGTAGTAGTAGTAGTAGTAGTATTAGTAATAGTAGTAGTATAATACTGAATATAGTAAAACGGAAAATGTGTGTGTTTGTTTTTTTTTGTTTTGATAACGTGATCAGGGATAATGGTCAAAAAGTATATCAGTTAAAAACACTGAAAGAAATTCGATGGGTGTTGTGTAATGTCCAATTGACTATAGTGAATTCGGAATCGGTAGACAAAGACGGGATAGGATAACAGCGAAGGAGTGTAAAGGAAAACCCTGTAATAAAATTGAAAAAAAAGGATACTTATAAAGGAGATAAATAAATTATACATGCTGAATGAATTCTGGGTTGAGAAATGAGAAACCCATGAACTCTGTTTGGTCTAGATTCATCATGAACAGTTTATCGGTGGGGGTAAGATCTGTTTTTTCACCAGTGAACTGCTTATCGAAATTGCTCACGTCCTTGCGGTGTTTCTATAACATAAATATAATATTATTTTTTACAAATTCTTAATGCCGTGTCGTGAGTAATACTCACGATTTTTGGTTTAAACGGCGGTTGCACTTCGCGGTTTTCAATTCTTGCCCAATCGATACGCCTGAAAAATACATGTCCACGAATGTCTTCCTCGCCCCTGGGACCTCCTCCCAATCTTTTCATCGGATTTTTAGTCAAAAACTAGAATTAAAAAAAAAATATACTTTTGCATTAGATTTCTAATATACGACAAAGGTGATATTATAATAACAATACCCCTTTGCATATTTCTTTGGCTTCCTTAGACATTCCTTTGGGGTAACTGACACTGTGATCAGTGATGGCCGCAAAAAGTTCTTCTTCGTCTTCTCCGTCAAAAGGTGGCTGTCCAACCAACATTTCATACAGGAGAACACCGTAAGCCCACCAATCAACAGACTTGCCATACGGTTGGTATAAAATTATCTAAAAATCAATGAAAAGTGTTTGTTTTGCATTATACTTCAGGCGTGCAATAAAACGGTTTTTCGAGTATAAATGTAAACAACACTGCGGGAATAATAGTTATTAGAATAATATATTTTATGAGATAAATCAACTGATATCCGTAGAATTAAAACATAATATGTAATATTATTGCAATTACCAATTCACCTACAGTCGAATTATGTCGTAGGTGTATCTACTATACTATCGACATTCAATATGGATGTGTATCATAATACATAATATATTATAATCGTCAGCTTGTAATAGCGGTGGAAGTTGATCGGAGCTTAATGGTAAACCGCCAATTGTTTGTATTGATAATATACGAGGAGATTATGACGTATAGGATAGCGAGTTAAAGATATTATCGTTGTCGGGTACGGTACTGTTGATTAATAATAGTCCTAATTAACAGGTGGCATTCGAATAATATAAGAATTATGCGATTCGTTAATAGAAACAAAATGTTTATAACTACATTAATAGTGTACGGTGCACGCATCACTATAAACTTCGATATTTTTAATGTCCCGCTTATAATTTTTTAACGATGTGTATCATATGTAATCATTCAAACATGTACTATAATTACACTCAATTACATTGAAGTATAATATGTACGTAAATTAAAAGAAAAATCAACCTAACTATATTTTTCGGTACCAAAACATCGTATGAACTATCGATATAAAGAAATCGATATGATGGGCATGAGATCTATTTGCCTTAAACATGTCTAACGGAAAAATGGGATTATATAAATAAATAAACGTGCAATTCCGATATGAGAACACACTTAATCTCAATAATTTGCAGGTGTGTGTAATGGGACCACCAATGCAATTGTAATTCAGTAGGTGTACATTCACATATACAATTGTGTTATGGTTATAGTTTCATGTGATATTAATTTTAAAATATAAAAATTGGAAATTTATAAATGGTTATTTGATTCGTGATTCATGGGCGAAAAGATTTGTGTGCAATATTTAAAATATTTACTACTTATCCTAGTTAGTAGTTGCTAATACCCAACACGTCATGGTAAAATTAAAATAAATGGTGTGAAATTCAATAGGTAGCTTTAACTGAAATCATGAGCAATAATAGGAAAAGGAATTATAATTGAAGTTTTAAAAAAAGCGTTGCCAAGTGCCAGTAGGATTAACAATATTTTTTACTATTCATTAACATTCGCAATTCGATTACGCGATTTGGGTAGATCGCAAGCCGACCGAAACGAAAATATGTCGGAAAATCACACTTTGTATCGCTACACAAATTTAGCACTGAAAATATCTTAAATACATAGGTAAACAAGCGTACTATGACAACGATTCGTAGAATTGAATAGAACCAATTTAATATTTTTTTTTCTTCGTAGTACAGTGATGCAATTGATTTTCATTTAGAAATTCAGAAAATATACACCGAAAAAAAAATCATCTTAATAACGAGAGCTTGTTTAGAAGACAATACAGTGTTTTTTTAAAGGTCTTATGGTTTACAAGCATAATTAACGATATTTTTTGTTCTTTTTCAGATTTAAAAATGTTTGTCGAAGTAGAACGAAATAATAATTAGGGTACTTTCAAGATTGTTAGTTTTGTGTGAATGAATACAGTTAATGAACTTCAACATTTTAAACACTATTGAACGAAATGAAATTTATACGAAGCTGAGACTTGAAATAATATTATTTTTCCAGATTCTATTTAAGAAAATAATGGAATATTTATTTAATTTTGATGATGAACACAGTTCAGTGGATCGTTCATATCGCTTTCCTCCCAATGGTCTACTAAAATAGTCTATTGGGTATTGCGTTTTATATAGGCCACTATTAGAGGATAATATAAAGGAGTTTTGTTTCATATTCAGTTAAAAACGAATAATTGGATGTTTGGAATAATTAATCCGGTAATGATGGTACCGACTTATAAAGCTCATATTACTTAGAGACTCCAACTAAAAAAATTGTTTTTTACACAACAATAGATAAACAATTACTAAAAAGCATCATGCAAATACATATTATCAAATTATTTGCAATAATCTGCAATAATATTATGAAGGTTTGAAAATTAATTTTTGACGCAGAGGTTCCATTATATTTAACGCAGGTACAGTTTTGATATTTTTTATGAAACTTTCTAAAAAAATATACGAAAATAATATCATTTCACGTTTATTTCAGTACCTGTTTTAGAGTTTACACTGTACTACACTGGTTGGATAAATTAAGGGATATAATATATTTTTATCATTAATAACTACCTTTTGAATATAATACACTAAACATAATGTACGAGCATTGCAGTAATGTTATACCTACGCCGTAAATTATACGAAAGTCCCCAGAGACTAATGTTAATGTAAGCCTGACGTTGTATTGGAAATACTTCAGCAGTAACGAACTTGGCTACGCGTTACACGTGAGTTGGATAAAGCATAAAGACAATAAAATCTACTTTCGCGGTATATAAAAGAGCATAATATATATACATATATAAAGCCTCGACGCCGTATACAGTTGCAATAAGAAAATCTGATACCAAAATAATAAGGTAATCAAGCGCATTATCGTCCATGAACATAAATATTTTACCTCTGGGGCAATATAATCCGGTGTTCCGCAAAATGTCTTTGTAGTCTTATCGCCCATAATGCCTTCTTTGCACATGCCGAAATCAGCGATTTTTATGTGACCGTCCTGATCCAATAGTACGTTGTCCAATTTTAAGTCTCTGTATATGATGCCATTGAGATGCAAATAAAAAAGTCCGATCGCTATTTCTGCGGAATAAAATCTGAAAAAAATAAAATAAAATAATATTTATGAGCCGATGTATAATACCTTCGAATAAACTACACCGGAAAATTTACGTACACGGCGACAGGCTCTTTAAATTTTCCACATTGTTGGATTTGAAACATTAAATCTCCGCCATTTATATACTCCATCACGAAGTACAGACGATCCTAGGAAAAAATTATTTTTTTATTCGCATCTATCCGTCGTCGGAACAAATAATAAACGCGTAAATTTAATTATTTAAAAAAAAAAATGTATAACCATCCTGCAGACACAAATCGATAGTTATTATTGTAAATACAAAATGACTCGTGTAAAATAAAAGAATGATTGTTTTTAAACAGTAATGTTTTATTTATTGTTGAATACATTTCTATTGTGTATCGTCATTATAATAGTATCATTGATTATACATTATACATACCTAATATATTACATTATTAATCAATGATAATAATATACATAATAAAACAATTAAATATTAATCAATTGCTATAGTATAACGGAAATGTAACAATTAAGGAATTAAACGTCGTGCATTGAAAAGAAATACTATATCCACGTAATAAATCATAATTAAAAAGTATAATTCGAATGTCAAAAATTAAATCCTTACTTCGTTTAGAGTAATTCTAAAATCAATATGATTAACGTTGTCTTAAATTTGAATGCCTTTACGGTAATAAGCATTACCATAGCTCAACCAAGTGTGGATACTAATGTATTATACTATTATCTATAATATCATATTAATTAGTAAGTATAGGTATTTTAAATAAAAGTACACCACGTATAACAAGACATACAAATATAATAATATAATATGTATAAGAACCAAAATGTATGATAAAAAAAATAACAAAATAAATGATAGAACGAGGTGTATTTTAGTCTTATTTGTTTCTGTGATAAAATTGAAAATATAAACAGCAAAATATTGAGAGCGAAAACTACATTTGCTACAACAGTGAAAATTATCGTTTTAAATAATACTGATATCTATACCTACACCTAATATGCAGAAAAATTGTAATAAATACTTAATGTATTTTTCAACAAAAGCCAATCTTCAAAAACGAATAAAACCCATATTAAATTAAAGAATATTCAATAAAATGAAGCCTGTAGAAAAGATAAATACAAATAAATGAAATTACTACATTGATATAATATAATAATATTATAAAAAAAAACTGTTAAAACTAGAGAAACAAATAAATGTAAACGGTTTAAATCGTTTGCTTAATTTATTCTAAAAAAACTTTATATAAACCTCAGGTTAAAGTACCTATATATTTTATGTATTTATATATTTTTAATTATTAAACATCATCCCTATTGTTGTTTTATTGGACGGCATCAAACATCGCATATAATATTTATGGATACAGTCAAAATCTGAGATTTTCAGTGATATTATTTCCACGGAAATGGAAAAAAATTGCTTGGGTCACAATGATGAGTTTTTCCGTATATACCTTAAAGAGCAATAGTGTTCCATATAGTAGTATTTTTTTCAAGACGAACAAAATATATTGTTGATCTCGGAAAAATATAAAAATGAACCCTTCTCAGGTCTTAGAATTATTCATAGTGCAAGTGTAGTTTTATTTAATGCTTTATACTGAAAGTTTGTGTTGAAATTTTATACATTATTAAAAAAAATGTAAGAAAAACATTTTATGACAGGCAAAAAGTATGAAACATGTCATTTATCATGAACGTTCGTAAATTCCATTAAATTTTGTATAATTGTAATAAAAATGATACTTATATTGTTTATTTAGTTTTCATTCATAATAATTTAATTTATTTTCTAAACAGAATATACCTTTCTACAAAACGCATACCAATTTTTGGCATTTCTATAATGAGAAAAAACGTCCATCAAAATGTAAGTATGTAGTAACTCTATTTGTAGTTTCTCTTTGAAAACAAACAATTTACGTACTGCACAAAGAAAAAAAGGTGGGTAAGTGGATGTCGCTCTGCTGTACAGTAGGTTACAAGTGGGTCACTGTATAATTGATGCTATTAAATTTGAATTCAATGATACAATATCATTGTATAAGAAAAACGATTCTGAGCGAAGACGGTATGTCAGTCTAGGTTAAGACAAATTATATACATATCTATGGTATTAAAAAAAAATTGACCTATAATAAATTCCAAATTAATCATATCACATTATCACAATATCCATTAGGTACTAATAACACGTTATACACCAACAACAAACCCTGATACTATCATATATATAATAGTACACTTTAGAAGTTTCAAGTAGGTACCCACGAATAATATTATATAATCACAACAAAATAACTAGGTTTTTTAATATGTAATTTCGTCAAAATTTGAACATAAAATGACTATAAAAATAAACTGTGATTGTATATTTTTTAGATTTTTCGGTAAGAGAATTAACTACTTACGTGAAATCTTGTTTTAAATTTTCAATCCTTAGCTATAAAAACTGAACATTTTATAATTTATTAATTACGATGATTAATAATTTTCGAGATTTTGAAAAATTCTGTCAAAATTCGATGTTAAAATGCTTATAAAAAAAAATTGTGCCTATGTATTTTTAATATTTTTCAACTGATATTGTAACAATATATCAGGAGCCTTGTATTAAATTTTTACACTTTTTGGCCCAACAGATAAAACTTAATTAATATTTATAGAAAAAAAAAACTAAAAAAATTGAAAACTGAAAATGTCCGTAAACGGCTCAAAAAGAGTCAAAATATTTTCAAAATTGTATGGTGTATAGGAAATGCTAATATAAACATTCAGTGAAATTTTCATGTATCTACAGTAATTCGTTTTTTAATTACAACAAAAAAAGGAAATTGCCACATGAGAAATCGAGTGAATATCCAATGTTGTAAAAATTTGAATTTCAAACGCTCATAAAAATTTAATTTGACTTTCCGGTAGAGATTTTTTTATTGATAAAGGTAGACAATCTTATGAGTAATCTTGTATTAGATTTTCAAATCTTAGATTTAAAAAGAAAAATTTTTACGAATTCTTAACTCAAAATAATTTGCTAATTTTCGTGATTTTTCCGTATTTTGTCAATTTTTGAACTTTAAATGCTTATAAAAAAAAATTGTGACTAAGGATTTTTAATATTTTTCATCTGCCCTTGAAACAATATATTAGGAGCCTTCTATTAAATTTTCAAGCTTTCGCAACCAACAAATAAAATTTTATTGATATTTCTAGAAAAAAAACTAAAAAAAAACTAAAAATGAAAATGTCCCTAAACTGTTCAAAATAAATCAAAATATTTTGAAAATGTTATCGTGTATAGAAGATGCAAATATAAACAACCAGTGAAAATTGCATGTACCTACGGTCATTTGTTTTAAAGTTACACCAAAAACCAAATTCAATTTTCTGAAAAATCGATTTTGCGTAAAAATTCCCGTTTTTCCTTAATTTTTCTTTTGTTTTTCCCGGCGCTCTTGAAAACTACTGGGAAATTTAAATTTTGACCTCCCCAATGCACCAACGATATTCACTTTCCAATCGAACAAGATACTGAAGTCGAAAATCGAAGCATTATTTCGACTACTTATCGTGTACACAGACACAAAAAAAATAAAAAATAAAATAAAAAAAAAATAAAAAAAAAAATAAAAAAAAAAACACACATCATTGTAAAATCAATACATTCATCGTTTCACTCAGAATCTAAAATGAATATAATATTATATAGATACAAATGTATAATCAAAATCTGTTAGCTTAAATATATTGTTTCTGTCTATTTAATAAACAGAAGCACGAATCTCATATACCTAATTGAAAACATAACAAGACATAAGAACAATATATAGTGTTGGTGTGTGTCCACCATAAAACATTTTTAAAGTGGCGTTAATTTATGAAATTACCTGATTGCATGTTATGATTATATATTGAAATACACTTTTTACCAATTATAACATTTAAAGGACGTATTTGTTGTAACCGTATCACATAATATGTATGACACAGCACTCTTTAACACTTAATTTATGTTTGACATGATTGATTCCGTTTTGTTATTTTTAATATTATAGAGTACTGAAATCGATACCTACCTAAATCGACCAAATCAAAAACCACAATTAATGCTCAATATTGTGTATAAAAAAAAAATATAATATGTAATCACTCGTCAGTAAGTCAGTTTTATGATATTGATATGGCAAAGTCGTGGAATAAAACTATTTTTAAAACGTTATACTTTTTATCATTTTGACTTGAACGAAAAAATTTGAAATAAAAATGACGGGAAAACGCAGATAATATTCTTATATTTTTTTTCAATTATGTAAGACTAGCTGCTGAAGTCTCGATAAATGATGATTAATATGTTATTATCTTTTAAGTTTGTTAATAGGTCAATTTACCGTTATATTAAAACGATATCAATCATGTCGAACATACATTTTTCATGTTAGGTAATGGGTATTTAAGATAGAGATAAAAAAAAATGAGTATCACGTCCTTTCATGGAGACAGACGAAATGTTTTCATAAAAAAAAAAAAAACAGGAAACGATAATTACTTATTTAAGATAAATACGATAACATTTATCTTTTAAGATTGTAATCATTCATTAATATTTTAATATTTTTAACTTAAAAACAAATGCATTTTTTTAACAAACGCATACCTATTATACATATCATACAATAAATGTGTAATGACTTTAATGACTATTATATTGTGTAATTTTTTATTTTATGAAGAATGTACGTGTTTTCCATACGAAGAACACATTTTTAATACTAAATAAAAATATTAATTTTTGGTGTAAACGATTAACATAATAATGTACCTAAAACAATATTTTTGACAAACTTTTCAAATTTGAACTCCAAAAAATCGAAATTAATGTTTTAATATAGGCTTGAATTGATGATATAAAATCAACTTCTAATTAACTACCCTAGATATTTGATCATTGCAATAATTTGAATTATGTCTATTTATGATGGTGGTAATATTATTATTATAGGTACATATTTTATAAAGCTATTTGTGAATGCTTACCATAGTTTGAAAACAAGAATGTAGTTGTACGAGAAATGGTGGTTTACTAGACAACGCTAATACACGTTTTTCCACCATGGTGCATTCAACATCGTCGTCTTGAATAATTATATCTTTTTTCAAAATTTTTATCGCATACAATTCATCGGTTCCCTTACGTTCAGCTAACATTACCTAAAAATCAAAACAAAACAATTAACGAACGATAAAAATAAAGAATAACAGTCGAGTTGCTATCTTTACTTTTCCAAAACTGCCTTTTCCGAGTACTTGTAAGAAGTTAAAATCTGATGCCCTGATCACATCTTTTTTCCCCATATTATGAGGTACATCTTTGTCGGGCACCATTGGTTTTCTGTTGGTTAACGATGTCTTCTAAATTTGTAAATATAATGTATTATATAAAAAAATAAAAATAAAAATATTTTAAAACTTTACTAGCAGAATTTATACTTTTAAAGCTCTTACTGAAAAGATAACACCAACATGCAACTACATTACTTAAGATAAGCCAGAAAAAAAAACACAAGTCATTTATAAGCTCCATAATTTTTTAAATATTTATTTTAATATATTTTACAATACAAAAGCATTTAGAAGTATTGAACATTCAATATGAATTTTTAATAAATGTAATCCGTACATTTTCATTAAATATAACTATTCCAAATTGGTTTTAAAATAAGCACTACAGACTTTTTAACATAATTGGGTCAAGTATATTATATTATTATTATTTTAATAGTACCTACCTATGTAATATAATATTCAACTTGAAAAAATAATACCAATTATACCAATTAAATTGAAGTATAAGTGAAGAAATTGGTTGATACATTTATTAATTGAGGATATATCTTGTCGACATTAAAATCTTAAGGCCTAAGTCTGTAGGTACAGCATTCGAAGTATATGATGTACCATACATTTTATAATTAAAAATAATGCTGACGAAATATTGTCAAGTATTTTACATTGTCATTAAACTGAGCTTGTATTCAACCACATATTAAAGAATAAACGAAGTGAGTATAATCTATTCAATCTAAACAAGAAATATACATATATTGAATTCACACTTTTGACGTGTTAAATACATTTGAAAAACTTCTGAAATTGTTTTTCCAATTTAATTATAAACGTTTAAAGAATTTATTATGAGTACCTTTTAAAATTATAAACAGTTAATATTCGTTATAACATGTATTCCCTTGTCATTCAAAACCCCGTTAAACGCTTGATGGTATGGAATGAGTTAACCTGAATCAATAGAATGTATGACATTCATAACAGTTGTCTGGTGTTTTAAAAAAAAAAAAAAATATTGAACCTACTATAATATCATAGGTGATAATAGATATTTGTAATACAATTTGCATACAAACGAAGAACAATTTTCCTTAAAACAGTAATTTTACGAAACAAATTATTTCTTTTTGTAAAAAAATTACAATAGTTATAGTACCTTAGACATTCAAAATAACTATATCTAATACGGAAAATATGGTTTTAAAATTCGGTGAAAGTTATTAAATAATTTAAGAATAATATGTTTTTCCGTTTTATTGTTATCATCAATTAATCCAATTGTAAAACATCTAAACATCTAACATACAGCATTTGAATAAATCAATTAATTCACAAAAAAATATTCATTTGTTTGTATTATATAAAATTAAAATAAAAACAAATAATACAAATATATATTTGAACTTGTGTCTTTCATGTCCTTATAATTATGTTTACCCAAATATTCACGTTTGAAACAGCTTTTCGATTAAAAATGTTTGTGAAACTAAAACCGCATTTAAAATTTAATGAAAAAAAAAAAAAGGAGTTTTGATTGACGGTAAAGTGAGTTGATGAATAATTTATTATACAGTTTTCTTCGTAGTTTACTTCTTTCATTTCAATGAAGGTTTAAAACTATTACCAAAAACAAATTTAACGTATTGTTAGTTGGCCTTCTTTTGTTTTCTCCGGTTAGTAAATAATAATAATAATAATAATATAACTAACATAAATGTCTGTATAAGGACAAGAAATTAACAAAATAATATTATTATCATCTAGGTACCTACATTTTTAGTTTTTAATTATAAATAATGGAACATGTTTATTATTTATGAATCATAATTTAAATAACAAGTATTATAAAGCGCAGTAACTAAAGGCAATATATAAATATTCAAGGTATGCTAATTTATTTTACACAAACAAAACACATATATGTACTTTTCAACGATTAAAAAAATAAAGTTAAATAACCAATGTAAAATGCTTACAAAATACTGACTTACTTAAAAAGTAAATTTTTCAGCGTGTTTGTATAATTTTTCAGAAAATGAATAGTAATGCATTGAAAGATTAATGCCATGGTTTTTATTTAATTTTTTTTTTTTGGTAATATATAGAGGTACCTTTTGTATATTTTATATTTTAAGAAGTATATAGAGAACACTAACAACTGCATATGTTAAAGTTATAACAGGAACTGTTTTGAAAATGGGATTATAATATGATTGAAAATGAGTTGAAAAGTAAATTATTAATTTACCGGCATTTGATTTATACGAGTACATCCCATTAAATTTAACATCATACATTTAGAATGAGTGATTGTTGTTACTTTTTACTAAAAAATGTTTACCAGACATAAATACATGTACTCTTTTTTTATTCATCGTTTTTTTTCGATTGTTCGTTATGCGAAAACAATAGATACTAATAAAACACAAAATATATTACAAAAACCAGTAACTGTATTGATACTACTGCTATTGAATACTATAAAAATAACAAAGCATGTTCCGTAGAGTTCTGCTATAAATAATTTTATCTCTTGTGATATTATGTTGTAAAACGTTTTACAATTAACAAGGAAATGATTTTCCAAAATACATTAAAATGTTTGAATAACATTAAGAGTTATTAATTTAAATTCAAGTAAGATAAACCTACCATTTAGAAAGTTGTATTTTAATTACTTTTCGAAACTGCAGTAATATATAAGACGCGCTACTAGAAAAACCTTAGGTAATAACACTCATCAGGTTCTTACGGAATTAGTATTGGGTATTTAGTCAAAGTATTAATCAAATTTTTAATTTCCTTAGATTTAAACCAGAATTATTATTGGATTTAGAAAAAGTTGTAATTTAAATCCTAATAGACTAAACATGAGAAATACTTATTTAAAGCTATATATTCAAACATAAAATTTAAAGTAAAGCATTATACGTTCTACACATGTTATCTGCAGTGAACGGGTAAAGTTTGATTAAGTGTATGTTTAATGAGGATTTTAATTAAAATACATTTTACGTCATATAAATATTGTCTAAAATATATACATGCTATACGATCATATACAAATAAAACTACATAGTATTTTATTGAATTTGAAACGAACCAAATTTCGACTTTGCGTTTTTGAGCCCTGTGTTAAGAGAGATATAAATATAAATTAATGAATGTGCAATGCTTACATAAACGTGAATAACATTAGTTGTTTGACAAACACACAAAATTAAATTGAAAAAAAAGATATTTTTTTGGTAGCAGAAAAAAAAAGAAGGAAGATAGGAGAATAAAATAGAAGTACAAAAGTTTCATCATGCTGCTCGAAGTTGAAAGTTTTTAGTACCAAATTCAGTATAGCATTGTTACCAAGAAGAACCAATTGTATATACCATAATCATATTTTGCATAAATGTTCTCAAAATTGAACCACAAACGTTCAAAATATATAGATAGGTACACAACACGCAAACGTAAACCCGCAGATAGAATTGTAAATGATAAATGAAAGGAAAATAAAAATGGGTACTTCGTGTTGCTTAAAATTATTTTCCTTACCCGCATTTGATATTTTAGTGCAGCCAAGTCGGCACCTTCTTCAGGCACGGGTACATTATAGAATTCCCCTTCTTCTTGAGTCAATAGCTTGAACCAACCTTCTACCGGCATTTTGATCAATTCCGATATTCCAAACGACAGAGATCCCATGAAATCGTTTCTGGACGTCCTGTCCCAATCCCATACCTCAATCAATAGTCTGCGATCTTTATCTTCGGGTTTCAGCTCACTGCACAAATCAATACCATAGTTTTATCAATCTTGTGACGTTTTCCCCGGAACAATAGAAAGTAAGTTTTGTGATTGAATTTCAAGATCCATAAGTTTCACATGTCAACTTTGATGTCAAGTAAAGATAGTTAGAGTTTATAAATTGATTCGCTCCGCAATCTTTTAGGACTTCCTTAAACACTCATATCTCCTCAATTCTATATTGTCTCCCAAGTTATTAACGTTTATTTATCAACTTTAAAAAAACAATTTTAAAGTTAAACGTTTGATGAAATAAACAGTTCTCAAACTAAAACATCAATAAACGATTCATCTCTACATTATAAATTACATTAAAACTATTCCTGTGAAAGTACATTATTTCATTAATACGTTAAACCGAAAAAAAAATTGTTCATGTAAAGAAAAAACTAATGAAGTATTTTCTAAAAAAAAAATTTTAAAATGAATTTCGAAATTGAGTAGGTCACTGTAATGACTAATTGATATCAATATTATGTATTAAATTTGAATTCAATGATAAATCTCTGCATATATGTACGAAAAAAGATTCTGATCGGAGACGTGTGTTAGCCTCTACTTCTAAGGATATTTTATAATTTTATAGTTTATTAATATCAAATAATATTAAAATTAAGATTAGAAATTAATTTTTTTAAAGGTAGATTAAACAAATTTTTCCAAGACATAACATTCCTAGGTATGTTGTATAATTTATTTTTTAATATAAGTCAATACCGACGACCGTATAACTGTTTTGCTAGATAAAATATAATACCTACGTAGTCAAAAAATTTCAAGTCCTTAAAATTTTTTAATTTTTTTATCGTTATTTAGAAAAAAACAATTTTATATTTATTTACAAAATTGTTTAATTGGTGTAGGTATACGAACCAATACGAGGAACATTGAATTAAATCTTAATAATTTTGACAAAAATCTTCAAAGCTTTATTCAAAAAATTGTAATAATGTATTTTCAATATTTTGTAAATTATATCATGCCTAGAAAATGCTTATATAAATATTTGATGAAAATGTCATGTATCTACGGTTATTCAATTTTGAATAATAACAAAAAAACAAAATCGATTGGAAACAGTATTGTGTAGATATTCCTGTTTTCCGTATTTTTTTTTTTTTAGTTTTTCCCGATTATTTTGAAAGATACTGGGAACATTTTAAATTCGATCTTCTGAAGTAGGTACTAACTAGATCCAATTTGCTACTAGAACCACCTTCAAAGTTTAAGATTGAAGCTTTTTTACTGATTCTAAAGATGACGTCAGATAAAAAAAAAACACAGACATCATTGTAAAATCAATACATTCATCGCTTCTTTTAGAACCTATAAGCTGTTTTCCGGGGTCTTGAGTTTGCATTTTACTCAAAGGTATACTAATTTTTAACATTATGCAAGAAATAAAATAAAGATTATTTATCTAAAAAACTAATTTAAAATTTATAACTACCTAAATCAACTTAATACAATAAAAATATTTAATCACGAACAAACTCGATTTAGCATATGAAATAGTTGAAACATAGTTTGTAATATACTTCCATTAATTTTATATAGTTTTATGCCGTAACATTTAATTATTTGATACAATTGAATCCAACGCTAACTCATTAAAATGTATTTGTTTGGTTTTTTTAGTTATATTTCCAAGTAATTCTGTACACAAACACACATGTCATATTATAATTATATTATATATAAATAAGAACAATACTGCAGATAAATGAATAATATTTATAAAAATTACTTGTACCTACAATGTTTACAAGGACAATCCGATTTTATTACTCGAGTATAACTATACCAGTGTATTAACTTTAAATTTATGTATTCCGAACTTCAATCACGCTTGGATTTATATTGAAATTCAATAAGCCGCAAAATGATTTGGCGATTTGAATTTTCGTTTATTAAACTCGTTAACATAAACTCACAAATTGAGAGGGGTATTCGCACTTTTTTTCTGCTCTCAGAGCATTCAATAGCAAAATGAAAAAAAAATGAGTCCTCTTGCAGATTTGTGTTAACGTGAAGTAAAAAAAAAAAAAAAATTATAATAATCCTAGTATTTACGACCGACCAAGTGTGTTTTAAGGACATCATCAATACGTTGGAACGGATGAACGCGTATACCTACTGGAGAAATACCCAGTACAACATATTATATTTTAATACGCTCCGACAATGGAAAGAACCAATGTCATCGTCGGTGGTTCGGATTAAGTGGATTAGACATTTCAAGTTCCTGAAAATGGGTACTTTGATTTTGTGTTAACAATGAATTGACGGATGTCCCGCTTATACGACACATTTGTTACAGCGATAAAGAGCGTCTCGGGGTATGCGTAGAAGGTGGGTACGTACGTGGTGCAGAGCTGTAATTTGTATAGGACGGTTGCACGCAAATTGCCTGGACGTTTCGAGTTATAGGGCAACCAGAGGGATAACGTGATTCTACTACCGTATGCTCGTCGTTACGGTTACCAGCTACGTCCTGAATTAGCACAATAACAACGCACCTATACGAGTGGTTTGATTGACATGTGAACACAATTAAGGCATTTTAAAGGTTTCAAAGGTTTGTCAAACCCGCAGCAGTACATCGTTGCAGCGAGGATATAATATATTATTTTGACATAAAAAAAAAAATAGTAAATAATAATCATAATAATATAATATTCTCAATTCGCACAGTGCACGTGTGACGGCTGCAAGACAGTGGGAGTGGTCTTTTGAAAGGTTCACACACCAATGGTTGGACACTCGTCGTTTAGGTTTCACGGCAAAATTGGTGGGAGTTCCGATGGTGCGTATATCAGGCAAAAAAATAACACTGCAGTATTTCGTATATAGGTACAATAGTATGGAGGCGACCCCCCGAACAGCGTATTTTAAATTGGAATTTTTAGTAAAACTTAAAAATTGATTTGATTTTGTTGGCAATATTATGATTGCCTATACCTCGCGACTATACTGGAATAGAAAAATAATCAGTTGCCGCCGCTGCCGGAAATTTATTTAACAACTATTTTTTCTTGTAACATTGTTATAATATACAATTTGAAAGAAAAAGCTAAAAAAGGAGAGCGATGTTTGATTGTCTTCGTCCTTCACTAATAAGAAAGTCTATTTACAAAGAAAACTTGGGTGATTTGTTTTATTCGTTGTTGAGGAGGTAAATAAAAATTGGATAGAACCACAAATTTACAAATCTAGTGTAAGAGTATAAGACACCGTGCTAAGTGGAGTTAGGTGGTGAATATGCTATACATGATGCCTTAACTATAATTTATAATTGATAAATATCGATATTTTAATATTACATTTTTCTTTTAGAATTTTCATCTGATATAGTCAGGAACATTTAAATTTATATTGGCATATACAACATTTTTAAATAATATAGTTTGCCGTCCAAGACTTGTCAAAAAGATCAATAAGGTAAGTCTGAAGAAATTCAAATCTACATATATATAATATACATATACAATGATATACATATACATATTATAAAATTCGTGGTTTTTTTTTTATAATTTTAAGGATAAAAAAAAAGTTGATTCAAACGGCATATTAAATTTAAGACAATTTGAGATTCCCTACAGAACAAAGAATAATTGGCTTTAACAACGGTACGTACTTGTTTCAAGAAATACATCTCTTTGTTTCAATTAATGAGCTACGTAGTAATATGGTGAACATTATATTATGACCCACGGAATAAAAACTGTAAAAATACGATAAAATCACAAAATTCTAAGAAATCCAATATAATGAAAATGAATGTTAAAAACATTTAAAAAAAAAAACATAACCTTCAATCAAATTATTTAATTAACTATTTGAATTTAAAATATACAAAATAAAATAATTCGAAAAATAACTAATTAACAATTATTTCGAAAAACAGATTGAATAATTTCAATGAAAAAGCCCAAAAATAATTATCATTTATCAACGTTGTTAAAAATGAATTGTTAACACATAATTTATTTCTTATAATACTTTTTCATGTATTAACTTTTTGTTTCATGCCTTATTTAACATTTGTTTTAACCTCGGGATGATTAACTAATAAAACTTATGAAAATAAATGAAACATTATAATAAGTTACTGTTTATAAATAAGATAGGTATAAGTGTGTAACCATTTTTTTTTCCAAAAAGTTTCTATAAACCTAAAAATCTGATCAGTAAATGTTAAATATACTGGTTTAGGACAGGAATTCAAAGCAAAATATATAATATCTAGATAAAACTATTATTCGGTACAAATAATTGTATTTTATGGTTTTTTTTTTTGATCTGCTTTATTTTTAAAAAATAAAAATTTTATTTTTACGTTCCTTAGAAATTTTAGATGGCCAATTTTATGAAGTTCATATAATATGTACATTGTAAATATATTAAAAGTTAAATTGTTGATTTTCATTAAATATTCAAAGTATAATTATGTAAATTTTTAAGTTCAAGAAGGAGGTTGATTTATAGTAGGTGGCTATGTACGAGGACAAAGTCGATAAGCCTAGCTCTGTATATCATTATTTATTATATTGTTATAAGCACCACATTTTAAATAATTTTCAAGAAATACTACTCTAAATATTTAAAGCTAGTATGGTTAATGTATAATAATTAATACTGCGGTTATCGAAACAATCATAAGATTGTCAATCGTAATTATTACCTACATAGAAAAAATAACTTATGTCAATTTATTATATTTTTATACCTAATGTTGAATAATGATTATATAGTAAAATTTTGATAAATGTATCGATTGGATATGCATATATTATATTTGTACATAAAATACAAACAAAATCAGGTCAATTTAAATATTATACAATTTAATATAAATCATATTTTTTTATAGTTATAATATTCAAAAAATGTATTAAAACAAAGGTCAAATTTTTAATGAAAACATATTTGTATCTTTTTAATCATCTTTATATTAATATAAATATAAAGGGCCGGGCGTCTCAAATAGAAAATTCAATGTAGTTAATTTAATTACAAAATTATTATTCCTGTAAATAATTAATGTAATAATTTACGACATTAATTACTTTAAAAAAAAACATCAGTTTTTCAAACACATTTAGCTTATATTTTCTTAATATTTCAACCGTCTATCCTACCTCTACATAATCAAAAACTTTAAAATATTTACATATACGCGCGGAAATTAATTTTCATTACAAAGTTTGTACACTTCAACTTTATACCTATAGTCCTTTATTGTTTGTTATTTTGATAGGATTATAATAATATACTCGTATATTCACAAATCGAAATCCCCAGAGACTAGTCTCAACACGTATATTATACTCTATACCTATACTATTGTATTTTAACCCATGATATCAAATCTATTTGTTTCCGCAAGTTTCATTCATTTCATTGAACAAACAATATAAACGCTAATAGAATTCCACGAGAACAAATGAAATGAAAATATTTAGGTTGCCTCAGCTTTTTTTGGGGTGGTTGGTGGATGCAGGTTGTGGGGTAAGATAGAAAGATAGATCTAAAACGGAACCCGTGGACATCAAACAAATTAATAATACTCCACCACACTCCGAATACAAAAACCCATGTGACATTCTTAATCAATCAACATCGCAGCAGGTATCTTTTATCCTAATCTCGTACATGGTGGATGGAAGTGTTATTGGAATTTTGAAGCAGGGCAGATTAACTACGAAAATAAATTGTTATTGCACTTTTTGTTTGTATTATCAACGAAACATAGTGTTGTATACAGGTATGTATATAATTGTATATACCTGTATATAATATTGTTTAAAAAAGCCATCATCACAAATCAAAATAGCTTGGAGTTAAATACAAAAGTAAAATCGTACTCACAACGTAATTGTCTCATTCCATACGGGATTTAACGACGATTTGATTGTCTTGGTTTTCTTCTTTATGTTGTCTGTATCTGGTATAAGTTTCAACTTCACATAGGGGTCTGATGACCCGTTAGGATCCATTGGAATGAGATTTTTTCCTTGGCGAACTAGAAACATAAAAGCAAATAATAGTACGTTGTCAAATAAAATATATGGCACCGGAAAAATTATTTATAAAAATTAATATATAGAAGGGTAGCGGGGGAGATTTAGGAGTAGTATTTGGGTAGAAGACCATTAATATTATTACATCAAGCTGATGGTCTTATACTTTTTTCCTCCAGTCTCATAAATAAATTCACATCGCACCGGCTAAAAATCTTTTTCAAATCAAGAATCGTAATCGCGAATTCATTGATCCGTCAGACCACTAGTCTTAAATTTAATTTATTACGCGTCCAAGAGTCACTTATAAATTACTATTACAAAATCAATATTACGACGAAGTAAATATAATAATAATGTAGGTGAGTAAAGTACCTACAACACAATGAGTGTAAAAACGAATGTTTTAAAACGGCCGAGTGAAAATCGTTGAAAAATATTATATGTCGAACACAGGCACCGCTGTAGTGGATTTTGTTGTTTAGCACTTATATAAAATAAAGACAAATAAAACGTTTAACGGTGTTAAATGGTAGCATTTCAATATTGCAAACTGCACTCAGCAGCATTGGTAAATTACGTGGTGAGGTACCGCGAAGCCGACCACGACGAATAAGCAATATAAATAAACAGACCGCAGTATAAAAATATCATAATTTAAAATACAATGCATATCGGAATAGGGGTACGATACGATTTTAATTGATACATGGACCGCGTATTATGTATACTCTTGATAATATTCAGTACGATTGTCGTGCATTAATAATAGAAATATGTATAGATAACATATAGGTAGGTAGGTTAAACATTTAATATTTACTCTATAAAGGTATACGATGTTGTAATTATTAATAACGTTTAAAACGAATTTATTACGAATTTGGAATGGATAATATAATATTCTTGCGTACAATATATATTATGTATTATACAATGTTAAGGTACCACAAAGTTGTAAAGCCCTAAATTTGTAGAGAAATCACAAATAACCAGCAATCAATAATTTCACTAATATTTAGTAGGTATATGACTTGTTCACCTATCGAATCATAATTTACAATAGAATATAAAATTATTTTATTGTAGGTAATGTTGTAAGAAAATAAATAACAAACAATTAAATAGTGGTTTAAATATTTTTTAGCCAATCATGCCCTCAGATTTTTAGTAGGTACCTATAATTTCCTCTTATATCAAATTACAAGTACAACTCATAATATTTTTCACATACCCTTATTTAATAATTATTTTAATTTAACCTCTACATGTATTTCGTTATAATCAAAATAATTTCCGGGATATTAATTAGATATTAAAAATATTCATTTTTTTTAAGTTATTGAATAGTAAGTATCAATGAACACGATCTAACGTATAATTGTTAATGTTAAAAGTTTAAATATATGTGGTACCTAAATTAAAAATATTTTAGATGACTAATTAACAAGAAAGCAGATAGAAATATGTTAACAGATCATTTGCATATACTATATCACGATTTAATCGATGTCAATAATCGTACTAATTACAGTCATATTTTTTAATGTAACAGTATAATAACCATGAATTTTAAATAAGACATTCCTATTTTGGTAATTCATTAATTAAAACAAAAAACATAAATGTAATTTATAGTTGAAAGCTCACACAATCGAGAAGTCTTTTACAAAAAAATATATCGGTAATCGGTATTCATTATTCATATTAAAATAAGCCTAAGAGATTGTGTTGATAGTTTCAAACAAAACTAATTTAATTGTTTTTTTCCAACCCTTTTGTCAACATTGTTAACACACCGTCATTATCACGCTCACTATGGTATAACGAAACTAAACAATTACTGTCACTCTAACCAGTAAATGCCTTATTCGCGTTTTGGCAGACACGACAAAAGGGTCTCCTGCAAAATATACAGGGATATAAAGTGGGTGCTAGCAAAAAAAAGGACTCGTCTAGAGAACCCCCATAAGGATTTGTTCGAAACATTTGGCGAACACCGTGCCAGCAAACAGTGGTGAGCCAACGACTCTTTTTTTGCATGACGGTCGGTTAGCTTATCATCAACCGAATTCATTAGGGACGAGAAGTCTTAGAAAATCAGAAAAAAAACTACTCTATAACTTAGTTTTATCTGACTTAACTGTTTACTATTGTAAAAAACGTATACCTATATAATAGGTACATGGTTAATTAGATTATTACGTACTATTGTACTAACATACAGAAGAACTTACATACAAGAAAAGTTCTGACTTCATGACATATATTTTTATTTTATTTTTATCTGATTAGCTAGGTTAGCCACGAACTTATTTTTTTTTTATCTTAGCAGTGTTTTATATTGTTTTAAATTGAATGTGTTTGTTAGGTCATAATAACCAATACACTTTATCCAAACAAATCTATTAAATTAAAATTATAAAATAAACATCTTGTAATAAAATTAAATCTTTCGACATAATGCAACAAATGTCGTTGTAATTAAAACGAAAATAATATTAAAGTTATTCGATAATAGTTAAAAAAAAACTAATAAAAATAAAAACATTGATCAATAACATGTGGTGGGCAGTGGCTGTCAATAACGATTATAAGCAAAAATTAAACAAATTATTTTTCAGAATCATAACAAACGATTTGCTTTATATTAAACTTGATTTTAGTTATACGTCACGTTCAACGAAAATACTATTCACTGGTTCACAGAACATATTTAACAATATTAAAAAACCATATATTTGTAGTATAAATCATTATTTTAAAAAGGCATCCATCAAATGGTATAAAGAAACAATGTAAATAACCTGCAACAGCTTGTATTGAAATGTCATATTAGCTCTAAAATGTATGGCTAGAATACCTAAGAATGTATATTTCTGTCAAAAATTCGTTGCCTGGGTTCCCGAAATACGATAATTTATTTTTTTTTTTTTTTTAACGTGGGCAAGTAGGTACTGATCTGCTGTACTGTGAGTCACCTCGTAATGGATATTGTGTTAAATTAGATTTCAATGATATAAAATCTTTGTATACGAAAAACAAATTAGAGCGAATACAGTAGTCTATCAGCCTACATTGTTATTCTCAGTTAAAATGTCTAATTTCGTTCCAATTTGAACTTAAAATATACACGTATATATCCACATATATATTTAAAAATACAGAAATTTTTTACGTTTATATAATGTTTAGATTTTATAGTTACAGAATAAACTACTTATGAGAAAGCTGGTTTAACATTTTAAATCCTTACTCCTTAGCTATAAAAATTGAAAATTTATACATTTTTAACTGCAAAATTTCGCGATTTAGACGAATTTTATCAACATTTGATCTTTAAATACTTATAAAAAAAAACGTGAATATGTATCCTAAATATTTAATAATTGCTATTATACCAACTTATGAGAAACCTTGTATTTAATTTTCTAGCTTTTTGACCCAACGGAAAATATTTTATCAATATTTATAGAAAACAACTTAAAAATTACAAATACCTTCCTCAAAGAAATTCAAAATATTTTGGTAATTTTTATCATGTACAGAAAATGCTAATAAAAACTTTCAGTGAAAATTGAGTTACACAAAAAAAAAAAAATCAATTTGGTTAGGTTAGGTAAAAAAAAGATTTTGAGTAAAAATGTAGATTACTCCGTAGTTGTATTTAGTTTTACTCGCCGCTTATGAAAAGTACTGAATATTTTCAATTTTCATCATTCAAAAGTACCAACTACCTACTTAAAATTTGCCATAAAAAACAATCAATTCATTATTTTGACTACTTATCGTGTATACATACACGAAAAACACACGTCATTGTAAAATGTATACAATTGTTCCACTCAGATTCTAAAATATTATGCCTACTTTATTTACACAAATATTTTTGAGCAATTATCCTAAAAATTTGATTTTGAAACATTGTTTTAAAGGCATGTCATTATAATTATTTTGTACATTTATTATAGTTAAAATATCAATATATATGTGTCACGTAATGTTTAGACTATTTAAATTAAAGTCAATTTTAACAAATTTCCATTGATTAAGCCATAAAACATTCTTTATGTATTCATATTTTAGAAATTAATTATGATCAGATATGTAGATCAATGAGTTAATCGTGTCTTATACGTATCTTTACCTATACGTGTGTACCTATACGTTTAAAGAATATTTTAAACATATTGTAATATGATTAGAATTAAACAGTAAAATACTAAATAGATAATTAATGATAAATATTATTAAGCTAACCATTAAAATATTACAATACGTGTAAATAGGCAACGAAGCGGCCATTTAATATTCAAATTAAAAACTTCTTGAAGTGTAATCCAATATAAAACGACAAAGTACACAAAACGTACAAGATTCAGGCTCGTCCTACGCAAGTTTGATAATTCTGAATACGCGCCTTCTGCGTTTCACTGTTAACACAATTATGCGATTTACAACGTTGAACCAAAAGATATATACAATAGTATACAACGACATAATAACTAACGAAGATAAATTCATAGAACCAATTTACTGTATTTACTTGAAATCAAGTCGAGTTGAAATCGGTCTCAGATTTATTAGTGTCAATTAATTAAGCAATTAATAATTCAAACGGGATACGATGAGGAAGTCGTATACGTATTTGTAAGGCCCTTAAGGATCGCACATTTCCGTGGAACATAGATGACGATCGATTACTCGTGTCACATTAAATGCAGACAAAACAAAATTGATCCAGTTTGTTCACCTTCACTAACCCCGAACCCTGAGTAAATATTTATGAACAGCTCTACGATTTTAAGTTTCCATTTATTGAATTACATGTAAGGGCTAAACATTCAAAATGTTCCTCATTTTTGAACCTTTTTTTTATTCATAAATATTTTAAGTTTTTCAAAAAACTGACAGAAAAAGTATCACAATATTAAATTATAACATAATATTGTTTGAGGAAAAAAGAACCCTTAGCAGCGTAGCCATGGGCTATTTCCATATATTACCTATAC